TCAAAAGCACGTGGGGCTGAAACAAAGGGTTCCTTTGCCTACTCCTAGACAGGGCACCTTTCCTGGAGGGCTGTTTGCAGTCTGGGTCTTCTCACCTGAAGCTGAGATCATTTCTCAGAACTGAAAAGCCTGTGCTAGTGGAGATCTTGCTAGGGCAGGATTTGAGCTGGAGGGTTGCAAATTATCATTACATTCATTCCTGTGAATGGACCTAGAGCCTACTGCCAGCTTTTCAACTTTTTCCGGCTGTGTTACTGCTCCCAGTCAAGCCTGAGCAGAGGCCAGTGCTGAAGGACACTGGCTGTCTTCTGATGCCTTCTTGTGGTTCCTCATTCTCTGTTGAAGATGACCTTCAGTCTTCCTATTGCTCAACTTTTCCATCCATATTGTAGAAAGGCTTCCCTTAAGGGACCACCTGCAGCTTCCTGAGGGATATGTCTTTTTTTCTAATGAGTGCCCTTGGGGCTTGCCTGGAGTTTTTGGACTGTGCAGTGTTATTGTCAAAACTTTTGATTCTTTATTTTTTTTTAATTGCTTGTACCTGTCCCTAGTCATATTGATATTCTGCAGCAGCCTCTGTGAGAAATAAGGCAGTTCCTTTGTCTGCCTGAACGGTAAGAATTTCTGCTCTTGTCATACTCCACTGTAGTGGCAGAAGGTCACTCAACAGGGACAGTGAGATCTTTGAACATTCATCTGACCTCTGTCAGGAGGACAGCTTCCTCCATTGCTTTTAGTTCCATTTTTTTCCAATTTCAAGTCAGAGAATGTCAGCCTAATTCCAGCTTAATGTCACCTGGCTCCCCAGCATACATTTAAGAGGAGACATGGCTGATGTCATGACAAGAAAGTCACTACAGCTGCTTCATCCATGAGCCATAAAGGGATATCTTTGACATGGTGCTAGAAGAGTTGAATGATCTTCCCTTTGAGGATGTCAGAAACAAGCAAGGGAGTGCAAGATTCACCAGAGTCTCCTGCTGGAGATCTGCCTTCCTGGGACTTTGGCTCCACCATAGATTCATGTGCATTGAATGACTGAAGGTCCCCAAGGCAGGAGATCTGGAATGATCTCAGAGCTTTTTTTCAGGATTTGGGATGTGCTGAGGTCAATCTCTCAGTCTCCACTGACAGCTACGATAGCTTCTTGCTGCCAGACCAATGCTGGTGCTCCCTTTCAGATGTATTCTTGATCACATAGCAGAGACCCACACTGAACGCCCCTTGCGGACTCTCACTTCTATTAAGGACAACCAGGAATGTACAAGAACACCATAAAAGAGAAGACCTCTGTTCACTAAAGCAGAAGTCTCTGCCCTTGAAAGTATTTGCTCTTCATCTCCCTATGGTTTTTCAGGCTTTCCCACTCAGCCTGGTGACTCTTAAAGTAGCTATTCCTTCTTTCCTTGGGACCTGATGTCAGAGAGGCCTCTTAATCCAGTATTGTTTCTTCTTGTGTGTCTGCCTTCTGAGCTCAAAACTACATGGACTCTATGGTGAAGACTGCCTGGTGGTGGTGGTGTTTTCCTGGTAAATGGCCAGTATTACTCATCCTAAATTCTTGTTAAAAGTCATTTATGAGTTCTGATAAATCAAGAGAGTAATCTGACTTTCTTTTCCCCTAACAGGGTATTTCCAGAGAGGCCTGCTTGTACTAGTGTGGTAAATTCAGTGGGCAGGAGTCTTGAAAAGTAATCTTAGTATTGTCAGTCGTGACTTCTGAGAGGCATAAAAACATTACAGAGCCCTAGGACGGCCAGTTTGGAACAAATAATTGCTTTCTTGGCTTACAGACAACCCTGTTCCCAAGTACCCTGGGTTATAATAGCATTTTGTCAGGTTGTTAATCAGAAATGGAAAAGTACAGCACAACTAATCTCCAGGGCTGCCAATTAAGATGTGTACATGTGATACTGAAAGACCTGGAACTTCCCAGGAGAGGGATCATCCAGTTCAGAAAGGTGCCCGAGGACTATGGAAACCTGCTGTCTTGTCAGTGTGCTGACACTCCTCGCCCTTCCTGTGCAGGTTGACCCCACAGCACGAGCCCTCGCAGGGCCACGGAGACTGTTCCGTGCTCATGTTCCCTTTCAACACTTGTGATTCTAAGGCAGGCGAGCAGCTGAGCACGCACCGGACACATAAAAGATAATAACATCGGAAGCACAGCCCGTCTAGTCTGACAGGTTCACCAGTCGGGCTGTCGCTCCCCATCCCAGGCTGTCCCAGATCAAAGAGCCTGGACTGGTCCCTGGCCGCAGGTTTTTCAGAAGAGGGCTGCAGCACCAAGTACACGTCCTGCTCGTAACTCAACACCCAGCCGTTACGTACGGACCTTCTTTTGGGGAGAGTTTGCCTGGCTCAGAGGAAATGGGCCACGATTACTCGGAGCCTGGCAGGCAGGTGTTTCCTCTGATACTTAGAAAACCCCTGAATCTGACAAATTGAACAATCACCCAAATACAAGATTGATGCTAAATATCAGACCTTTTACATATACTGATTGTTCTCTAACCTTTTTGAACAGCTAGGGCGAGTGAGGGCATCTTGATTTAAAGATATGACTGTACAAACAGTCCATGGCTGGTTTTGAGCATGAACTGGTGCGAAGAAAATCACTGTACTGGCAAGGAATTGAAAACTTTCCAGAAAGCAGCAGCTTTCTGTGGCTGTGAAAGCCACTCACTGTTTGCAAAAATTAAGCTACTAGGCTTACTGTACTTATGCCTTCCGTTATCAGAACTGCCACTGGAGGTAAGGAAGAGAAGACAGTGGTACCGTTTTGATCTTGGGAGAGAAAACCGAAGTGCTACAAGCTGTTGCTTTTGCACGTTAGGTGAATGGGGCTTGAAGGCTGCTGGATGCAGATCCGTCATGACAGCATCAGAGAAATCTTCCTCCAGCAGCTGCTCTGCTTAGGCACCCGTCTATTTGAAAAACATGCAACAAACTTACAAAAGCAATGCCTCATCCTCATCACTGGCTGTTCAGTATGTCTTTTAGGGGAACAAACAATTTATTGTCTAATGACTAGAAATAGCTGGAGGGAATTCCAACTCACTTGAGGGAGTCAGGCTGCTGCCCCAACAAGCATTTTGCCAGCTATCGCTCGCTGCAGCGCTCAGCTGTGCGCTGCCGCCCTCACGCCTTGGGTATGTGTTTGTAAAGCCTCCAGATGATGCAACAACTGCCATTTCCTCAAGGACAACATGAAGCACTAAAACGCTGGATGGTGCAGATGGAGATAAAATACAGCTAGTATGCATGCATCCCGCTGCCGGTGTCTGCCTCAGTGCCCGGAACAGTGTAACAAACCCCAGGAGCTGCGGCAGGAGGACAAAGCACTGGGCATGGTTTGGAGGTCTGCTCAGGCCTTGGGTCAGTGGTGACTTACAAGACTAGGGTTACCTACATGAAGGTAGCCTCTGTCCGCTGCCTTTTGTGTGCTCACTGATGCTGGCTGATCTCTGGAGAAATACAAATATGCTTCCTCGTGTGAATCCTCCTGTAAAATAAATTCCTGTAACAGAAATATTTTGTTGAGAGTGAATAATACTGATTGGCTTTGTCTCTACCCTGGGGTCTGAAAGAACATTTACAGGTCACCTGCCAAGATCCACTGACCAAACTTCAGGCTCCTTTTATTTAGTCTCCAGGGCTGTAATCTGGCCTTTGCTGTTCAAGTCACAGCGTGACATTCTGCTGGTCTTGTAATCTCAAGGCCGTGGTCGGTGATAATGTCAGGCTGAAAAGGTTAAACCCTGTTTGCCTTTTTACCACGGTTCAGCTTCGAGTCATTTCCCTGCTGCGGAGCTGAGAGGTTGGACCTCATGGAGGAGCGCTCTGTGGCCTCGGTTTCGGCTCTCACGTCTGGGCCTGACCTGCCCAGGCAGGGCTGCAGCCAGAGCATAATGTTTTGTGCCAGTCTACTGTTGTCTAGTAAGAATTAGGGCAGCACATTGTGCCCTTCTCCCAGTCTCATTAGGAGCAGCCCCTAAATTCTGTTCAGGGGATCCAAAGAACAGACGTAGGCATGTTGTTCACCTGAATGCCACCCATACTAAATGAAGCATCTACGCCAGAAAACAAATATTAAAGAAAGTACCCACCTAAAGTCATTGAAACATAATTATTAAAACCTTTCATGTTACTCTACAGTACAACGTAAATTGTTCCTTTCAATTAAATTTTGAAATACACTAGATTACATCATTTAAATAATCGCAAACTTTTAAGTTCACTGTTGGTGGTAGCGGAGCTGTATTTACATACACTTCTGAGATATTGCAGATGCAGCGCTATGTTCCAGTCCCTACGTCAGTTAAATAATGGACTTTCAGTGGGGGTACACTGCTCTTCCACAGGTTCTACACATATCTGAGGTGTTTGTGTCAGAAAGCAAGAACTTCTCTTATTCTAGCTTGCCTTTTTTTTTTTCTGTGTGCATGCAGCTGTATCTCAGCAAATTAATACCTACTTGATTTGGATTAAAGATGAAAGACCTTTCTTTTTATACAAGTATTTCGACTGAATGTATAGAGGTGAATAATGAAATATAGTCCTTACGGGTAGTAGTGGAAAACATAATTTTCTTCAACTTTCCTCCCCTGTAGCATTATACTGCACCTAATTTTGACCCTGACTTTACCTAATGCTGATGAAATACAGTCAATGGTGGAAACCTCTCTCTTGTTGTCAAGACTGGTTTTCAACACAATCCATGCAATGGCAAGCATCATACATCATTCTCCCGCAGTGCAATATTAACAAGTTAAACTCAGTATTTTTCTCCAGAGATCTGCTCCTCGAGGGAAGCCCATCTCTGTGTGCACATCAGCTGCAAACAGGTTGCGAGTCCTGAGGCTGGAGACCAGAATTAGACTGTAACACTTGGTTCCAGTGCTGCTAAGAGTCTTTGTGGGTCAGACTCCTCCCTGTGTTGTCCACGGAGCAGAGCCAAGTTGAGCCACCGAGGCTCTGGATGGTCCTCGCATGTAGCACTGCCCATGCAGGACTCAGGGCCTGGTGTGAGGGGTGCTGATCATGATGTTGGGCAGTGCATTCCGCCGCTTCTTCCAGGAGCCCAGCTCCCTCGAGTATCGCCTGATCTGCCTGAACCAGTGGTGAGTCCGTGCTCGGTCGCTGTCCCGGAACACAAACGCCTCCCGCCTGATCTCAATGAGTTCAAAAGTGTCATCACAGTCAGGATCAGTGGAGACAATGCAATTACTCAGCCTCAAGGGCTCCCTGAGCAAATGGAACTTCCCGTTATTTTTGTCCCTGATGAGTACCAGCACAGCGTCCTTCACAGGCCCTGGCTCGGCTGACTCCAGGCTGGACTCGGACACACGCTTCATGTTCACCAGGAGGAGGACCTGCATGTTCTGGAACTTCAAGGTCTTGCTGCCTTTCTTCACCCACTGGCCGTCAGGGGGCTGGGCCAGCTGCAGAGAACCCTCCATCACAAATCGCGTTTCCTCCCGCAGCCAACCTACAGTTTTGAGGGCAGTTTCTCTCATCTCAATGTTGATGACTTCCCTCTTCTTCTTGCTGTCCTGGCGAAAGGAGCGAAGGGTCCATGTGTTCCCCTCCTGCTTGGTTTTCATGTTGATGTGCTCCAGGTGGGACTCGATGCGGCTCTTGGCTTCCCGCAGGCTGCCATGATCTGGGTGGTACTCGTTGGTGGCCTTGATGATTCTGCTGAGCAGCAATGGGTACTTGGTGACTCTTTGCAAAGGGGCCATCAGGAAGGACCTCAAGTTCATCCGCCGTAGAGCTGTGTTGTCGTTCTGGGAGACATTGAGGAATATTCTGCAGGGATTTAAGAAGAGGGAATTAAATGGTGGCTGTTCTGCCAGCAGATGCTGCAGTCCTAAACGCAAATGAACAGCGTGGTGCTGACAGCTGCTAGGCACTGCAGCCCCCTCTTTGGTTTTTAACAGCCTTGTGAATTCTGACTTCTCAAAAACTAACAACTTCTGCAGCTGTGCTCAGCTGCAGAACAGCGATGAAGTGCCTGGGACACTAGCACGTAACATTCCAGCAGTCTTATATTAAATCACTGTAAAATGACAAGGGTGTGATCTTTCTCTGGTACACACTGACATAGGCCTGAGGCAGATAATCAGATTATATCAGATTGCTTTAATTTGTAGCTCCTTTCATCATTAGATTACAAAGCACTCTAAACAAGAATTTGGTACCGTCATCACTTTAAGCTGTTGCAGTGGAAAGAGAAGTGACTCGCCTGACGCTGCCCGATAGGCCAGGGCTAGGAATGGGAAACAAATTTGTCAAGCATACTTCACAGTGGCTTCCCCCAGTGGAAGTCCAAACCATGCTTTGGCACAGGGACTGAGAGCTGTTCTCAGCTGGGTGTTATTTGGTGACAGTTCAGCCCAGTGGGCAAACACTGGTACCACAAATAGAGTATACAGCTAGGGGACTGCCTCAGGGGAGACATCAAGGGGTTAATATATTTTGGAGAGTAAATTACTCTCCTCACCCCAAGAGAAAGCAGCTCATCACTGAAGAACATTAGCATCAAAACTTTGATCTAACTGAGCTGACAAAGGCTTTGCCCTCAGCTGAGCGCTTTCCTGTCCCAAAAGCCTGGAAGAATACGCTCATCCCTTTCTCACCTGAGCAACTCTTTCTCCTTCTCCAGAGCGTTGAGCATATTCACGGAGGAGGACTGCTGGAGACAGTAAGTCTGAAAGGCTGGCAACATGTTGACGAACTCTAGAAATATTTCGCCGATGCACACAGTCATCAGGTCGCCGTCGCCCTGCAAGCATGCAACACAGCACCTGCTGGGTTAGCTCGGGAGAGGCACAGAGCCTGCACTGAGTCCTATCAGCAAGAACCTATGGCAGGATCTGGTGAACACCAGACCAAAGGTGGAACTGGGCTCACCATTCCTCATGGAAAGGCAGTTGCTGCAGGTGCAGATGGAAGCAGTGCATGGGAAGGGAAAGGAAAGCTGGACTCACCGCTTGCTCTTTTACACAAACAGAGATGCCTTCTCTGCTTCTGCAGGCTCAGCCAGCTCACCAGAGCAGGAGCTCAAAGGTCAGAGGCTAGAGTGAGCCTGCTAGTCAGGAGAGTGTACTGGGGCCCTTCTTGCCAGCAGGTCAGACATACAATGCAGCAGTGCACAAATTTAACAGCGAGTGTTTAGGTGCAAATGGGCAGGGAAAGTGTGTAACTCAGACAACAGACATGGCACTTAACAACTGCTGCAGCTGATCTCAGCAACAGGCCTGGCTGGGAAGCAGTCTCCTTCACTTGTGCTCTTACTGGCTACTTCGATGCCCAAGTGATTTCTGGATGTGTAATAAAACAAGGGAATAGTAAGAATCTGGTGCCACATAATGTTCTTAGCTGTGCTGAGGTGTATGCTGACATGCTCTATGATCGCTGCTCATTTAAGCAGGGAGAGAGGGAGCAGCTCTCTGGCTGCTGGCGGCTTTTTGTTGCAGTACTGAGCTCTGACTGCAAAGGGCAACATGGAGGCAGACATAGGGAAACCCACGGCTGTTTGTAGAAGCCATTGCCTCCATAAATTATTCACAGGGACTTGACACCTAACATCCGGCTGAAGCTGATACAGCACGAAGCAGGTTTTGGTTTCTCAAAGAAAGGAGGGTGTGGAGCTGTTTATCTGTCCTTTGCAGTGATTGCCTGCTGCTCTAGAGTCTTATTTCTATTTCTCTGCCCTCTGACAGGGTAGGAAAGTCTCTTGTGCCAGGCAGGGTGCATCGGTAGAAGCAACTGGTACACAGAGCTCCAAGTGCCCTGAAGCTGATACAGCACGAAGCAGGTTTTGGTTTCTCAAAGAAAGGAGGGTGTGGAGCTGTTTATCTGTCCTTTGCAGTGATTGCCTGCTGCTCTAGAGTCTTATTTCTATTTCTCTGCCCTCTGACAGGGTAGGAAAGTCTCTTGTGCCAGGCAGGGTGCATCGGTAGAAGCAACTGGTACACAGAGCTCCAAGTGCCAGCTGTCAGCAGGGCAGGGAGCAGCCTGTGCTGCCTGGCCCCACAGCCAGCCTAGAGGCGAGCTGCCATAAACTGCAACCCAAGGCAAATACACCCAAGCCAGCCTGAAGCAAGCCAGCTCAGGGTTACAAGCGTGTGGACTGTAAGCCAGACCGAGCCGAGCTCTTTGTCCCTGTGGTCACACTCTTACCAGTGTCCAAGCAAACTGGCTTAAAGCTAACTTTGGTAATGGGACAGTTAGGTCCTGTTAATGGGATAAACGAGCTTGACTGCTGATGGCCTGCTAATGTCGGTGACATTGCCACAGCAGAGAGTGAGGCCAGCAACTGTGACCTGGCACAGGCCTACTGAAATCACTGGTTTACAAAAGCTGAGGGAGCAAGGGACTAGGTAGATGATCAGAATGTAGGAGTCCTACCTCCTGATCCTCTGCTCCACCTATACTGCCTCACTAATACAAAACCCATTCCTGTCTGCCCCGTCTGGTCCCTTTAGAGCACACAGTATCATACCTGGTCAAAGGCCTGATCGATCTCTTCCTGGAGTATCTCCAGGAAGTTCTCATTGAGGTCGATGAGCTCCTGGATGTTGCTGAAGATGCCCAGGAGCTGCTCCTGGCTCAGCAGCCCAGCTGCCTGCATAGGAAGGTAGAACTCCTCTTTGATGATGCGCAGGTCCTCTCCATAGCTGGCCTCTGTGTTGACAAACTCCAGCACAGACTCCTTGCGCTCCGTCCTGCGCTTGCGGCACTTCTCGCAGAGGTCAGCCCGCCTCTGATTGCGGTTCTGCACATCCGTCTCCACCGGAAGGTCCCTTTCTCCACAGTCGGTGCAAGGACGGTGGGCTTCCCAGGCCTGCAGGGAGCTCAGTGTTTCAGCTGCCCTGTTCCTCCACTTTCTGGCTGGCATCTGGCCAATGCCACTATCTGCCCTCTCCATATCTGCTGACTTGGTCCGGGTGGCCTCACTAGGATCCAGGTCATCCCGGACATCATTCACACCAACAATCCCGCTGTCTGTGCTCAGGCTGCTGACGTTGCTCCAATGATGTCTGGAGCGAAGGGAGCCACGTGGGGCACGGCGGGCCTCATCAAAGCTGCCACCATGGCCAAGGTTGGCTTTTGCTACCACTGGACCTGAGAACAGACACAAATCATTACAAGCACTGCAGAGAGCTCACCTGAGGAGCTCAAGCTGGCACAGCCATGAGGGGCAGGAACCCTGAGGGGGCAGGCTAGATCTGGTGAAAGCAGGGCTGTTAGCTGTCTCCTCTCCCGTTTTGCTGCTGAGACTGGTAAGAGTCAGAAGTAAACGGCTCCCAGGTGAAGCCTGAGGAACCTGTCATCCCTGTAGTGCCCACACCTGGGAACTCATTTGGGCTCTCTCTTCCCCTGCCATCTGCCAGGCAGGGACAGAGACAGAGCAGAGCAGAGCAGATCCTGACTTCTTGTACACCTGGGTTAAACCCAGAATGCTTCCCTCTCCCAGGTCAGCAGAGATACTCCATATTTACACCAGCATAGCAGGGCTCAGCATCTGGCCCTTCAGTCCCCTTAGAGCATACAGAATGTGAGTACCGTAGTCTCGCTCCTGCCGGCGCTTCTGTGCATGCTGCCGTTGTGCAGCTGCAATCTTCAGCTCCAGCTGCTTCCTCTTAACCGAGTCTGTCGGCATAGGGTCACTGAAGTGTGGCCGCAGCCGGCACTCCCGCTGTGCCTTAGCACCATCCGTGTTCTCATGGACGATGTCAGAGCTGGATCGGCGGCAGACAGGACTGGGCATCTGCAAGGAAAGCAAGTGGGTTTGGAGCAAGGCGGTGGTCAAAGCAGCACCTGGTCTGCAGCCACTGGACTTTAGTTGCAAAGGAGAGAAAAGGAAACTCACCAGTGGTGGTCCTAACAGCATAGGACTGCTTAGTCCTAACAGCAAGGACTCCTCTCTCTCTGCTGTTGTGTAGCTTTGAGTACAGTGGCTCTGTGGTGGCTGGATCATGGTTGTCAACAAAGTCAACCACGAAGTCAACAGCATAGCCCTGGCTAAGAGCCTACAGCTGGGGCTAAGCCTGTCCTCCAGGGATCTGAACTAGCTTCCTTCTGTTCTGTGAATGTTCCAGAGCTGCGGGGTCAGGAGCTCCAGCCTCTATACCTTACCTACATTAGTAGTTTGACAAAGTAGGGACTAGGAGGGAGTCTGTCCAATCTCCCGGGCAGCACAGCAATGAGGGGCAGGTGGTATGAAGGGGTTACTGCCGAACTCCCTGCATGAGATGCAGCAGATAGGCAGGGGCACAAAACTTACTCCTGTTTCATTAACTGTAATAAAAAACGCACTGGAAATGCTTCTAACAGAGTTTAATCACCCATGGGAGTCAGTGTGATTTCAGATCCCAGGCTCCCAGTCTGCCCAGTTCCTACAACAAAGGGATCCTTCAGAGCTTCTGACAAGAAAAAAATCCAAACACATGCCCAAGATGAGAGGGGAACTCCTCTCCCTTACATTCCCTGCAGGTGGAGTGTCACTGGATGTCTCATTGCTTGGCTTGTCCTCCCAGGTGTCTGTTGCCATGGACATCGCTTTGGGCTGCTGGCTGTCCTCTGGAGGTGGGAGATCAGCTTCCCTCAGATCACACTGTCCCTTGGACGGGGATTTGGCAGCAGTCTCAGCATTGCAGCTGCAGGGGAAGAAGCAGACTCTGATGAACATCACGTACGCGGTTCACCTGCTGTTCCTGACACAGATGAGACTAAGCAGCAAGCCCAGGTTCGAACAATCAGCCACAACAGTTCAGGGAAAGTGCACGCAGGCATCTAGACCGGCTGGCATGGATGGCTGTGCGGGTGTTTCAGGGGCTCTGAACACAGCTCAATTGTAGCAGTGCAAATCAGGTAATTGCACTCATGCCAGCATCAGTCTGGGATATCACGTCTCAGCTGCTCACAGGGCATTTTTGTGTCCATAAAACATGAGGTTCTCCCACAGGGACCAGGGAAACCTCTTTCTAAGTAGGCCATATCCATATTTGCTCCTATTTAAAGAGATGTCAACGCAGAAACCATATTGCTCATCTGGAAAAAAAATCACCTGCTAAAAATTGTAATACTTTCAAGAGATTAGAGGATTAAAGGAGCTTTTCCCTCAGGTTTTCATCTCATATGATCCCAAGCCTGCTGAAACCACTGGAAAGATTCCCTCTGCTTTCAGTTAACTCAGGATGAGGCCTTTTGGTGCACTTAAGAGTCTTGAAAAGATTGGCAGAGTCTGTTGTTGTCACTTGGCAATTCTGGGATGCTCTTATTCACGGCTGTCTGGTGCTAACAAGGGCCTGGCTGATACAGGCACCCTGTTCCAACCCCATGTCCCCCTCTCTGTAGACAACACCACCTCTCCAGACAGACACAGCCTGATGCAAAACCACTGACTTCACAGAGCAGTTAATACACTCTAGTTTGTGATACTACTTGCGATACTTTTTTTTAACAGACTCTCTAAGACACTTCATGCATAATGAAGCCTACTTGGAAGAATATTAATATTTTCTTATTGAATTTTTACTTCATTTTTATGGGCTTGGATTCCTTTAAAAAGAAAGGTTGTCAGGACTGGATATGGATCATTATACATAGAGGAAGCCGGTGTCTGGAACATATTTCAGGTTATGTATATATTTTATGCTTAACAAAAGTCTCTCATGACAAAAATCTGCTTCTTCTTAAAGGCTTCATTTGTGAACTTATGCTGGTAGGTCATAGTGCTAATGTGCAATTCCAACACTGTGAGCTACAAGCAAACACATGAGACAGATGGGCATTTTCCTTACAATGAATGACAGTTGGCTCTGATAACAAACCATCAGCCAACACTGAAATCACTGAAGAGGGAATAAATCTCCCAGAATACAAACTGGCTCTGTTGTCAGGCCAGAAAAGTTGGTTTGTAACTTTCCAGTTGATGTCTTTTCATCTTCCTTCATTTGCGCTTCCAGGTCCCAGCTGCCACTACCAGAGGATTCACCAACTTAAAAAGAGCGTAGCCGTGGCTGCGCAGCAACGGCATGGTGCTAACAGCAGGCTCCTGGCTTTTACCTTTTGCTTTTTGCTGTGCTAACTCCCTGCCATGTGGATTTGGAAGCATCACTTCACTTCTCCAGACCTCTTCCCCCCAGCCTGTAGAAAGGGGACAGCAATATCAGTGCTGTCATGGAGCAGTCTGTAGTACAGACTGCGTTATAGAATCATAGAATCACAGAACGGTTTGGGTTGGAGGGGACTTCAAAGATCATCTAGTTCCAACCCCCCTGCCATGGGCACAGACACCCTCCACCACACCACGTTGCTCAAAGCCTCACTACCATAGCAGCTAGATCTGTCAGATTTGGAAGAAAAAAGAAAAATATTATGCCCCTTAGGCTTGCAGTAAGAGCAGCACAGGCACACAGCAAGGCAGTGGTCCCCCCATGGTACTGGCCTGGCCTCTGACAGAGGTTCCTGACTCCGTCCTCCCTCCCATCCCCAGCCACGTTTGGGGGACCACTCCTTCAGCTGGTCCAGTGTAACTGTCTGTGTGGTCATGATCTAAAATCAGTCTTGAAATGATCTGGGTTTAAAAAAACATCTTCCCTCATGTATTCTGAGCCAGATCATTTCATCAATGTTTTATTGAGTTGGGTAAAGTATGAACAGTTCAGCCGGGCACAGATGTAGGAGGGAAGGCAGAGGTTAAGGAGCAAGAAAGAGAACCTGCCACTGCTGGAAAACCACCATTTCCAAAAGCTGCTCCTGCTCAAACAGCTTCTGGTTGAAACATGAGGAAAGAAGAGTCCATGCTGAGGCACAGAGAGGCAACGGGATGTGTCAAGGTCAGTAGCAGAGCTCAGAACTGGAATAGTATCTTCTCGTCCTGATCACACCACCTCCCACCATACAGACCGTATTCCCAGAGAGAAACTGAGCTTTCATTTGTCATTTTTACAGTGCTTCAAGATCCCACATTTAAGCATGGAAAGTACTTCAGAATATTACTGCTCCTCCAAGGGAAGCTGACAGCAGCTCTCTGCTGATAGGGTCTGCAGACCAGATGCCATTACTTACTGTGGTTTCCATAACTCAAAATGGATATTTTTTTTTAAATCTCCATTTAAAAAAAAAAAAAATCTCCCATCTACAATGGGAGCAAGAGCCAATACTACCCGGAGAGCTGAGCTAAGGAAGCATGACTGGAGACTGAGAAATTCAACCCACTTCATGGCTGCTCAGCTAGAGGTAAGGCAATGATGTAGAGCCCACATCATGTGAAAGATTTCTTCATCCCTGGTTTGACAGCTCTACTTCTAGCTGTGATTAGATCCGTCCTGCATGATGTACTGGCCATGATGTGTGAGGGTAAGTGCTGCTCCACAGAGCAGTCGCTGTGCACTGCACCACAAGTGTGATGAGAGGGATGTAGGCAAAACAGGGAGGATACAAGCAGATTTGTAGAACCAAAACTTTGTGCTGCTCCTTTAACTTTTACCCCTGGCTTAGCAGGAGGAGGGGACATTGCCAATAAGAGATACTGCCCCTTCCTCCATTCCACTTGCCCTGGCAGAGATCTGGGCTGCCAAGAGGTCTACACCAATGCCTAGTCAAGCAGTCCCCTCTGCTCTCATGCAGAGCTGCAGAAGGGAGGACTCCGGCATGTTTCCTTCTGTGGGATCAAATCACTTATTAAGATAGGAGATTTCTGCCTGAGATTGACATCAGTTTTCCCTGATGATACAAGATGATGATTCCAAGACAGATGATACGCTTGGGCCACCACAGGGAGGATAGTTTCTTTATGAATGTCCTTTTAAATCTCTGGGCCATCATCTCTGAATCTCTTGGAAGCAGAGACACCGGGTGTGTGGTGTGCAACTGCTTTCCTTCATGGTCTGTATGGGATTCTTCATGGTTGTATCATTGTCCAGGCCAGCACTTCTCAGCCCTTTTCCACATGCTCCTGACTCTTTCTGACTAATAGAAATATTTTTGTCCACTCCTTCCCTGCTGGCACCTGCCTTCCAGACTTGGTGCCCTCTCTATGCTGTTATTGTACCCGCCATCCTGGTGTCATCCCAAACACACCCCTTTGTTCTTTTCAGGAAGCCTTCCTTCTTAGTCATGTCCTTTGCTTCCTTGTGCAGGTTTTTGTTGTCACCTCGTCCCCCGTTTCACAGACAGGAACCCCAGGTCCTTGCATGTCCTTATCCTGAACAATTCACTGCTTAAACAAGTTCAGAAAGTGGACTAGATACTGAAATGCATCCAGGATTTCCACCTAGATCTCAATACCCCTTCCCCACCAGGACTACAACCTAAGTTAAAGGTATCACGTGAGCTATTTCATCTTCACTGATGAAATATTGAGTCATTTGAATGAGTCTTAAGTAATTAGCTATGAATTACTAGGGAGGCAATTAACTTAGCAGACAAAACTGCTCTGTAAAACTGTAACACTTACACAGAACCACTAGAAAGAGAAGACAATTTCAGCTATCTTATTCTGTGACGCTTCATCACAACATCTTTATCAAAGGCTTGCTGAGCTCAGTATCTGTGGAAATAGGACCAAATCTTCAGCTTTCAGCTCATTTCATTTGAAACTTAGAAAAAATGTGGCCTGGATGTCAGTGATCATAATTTAGGACCCAAAACATCCAGACAAAAAGTCTCTCACCTCTGCAGTGAGAATCAGCTTGAGTTATAAATGGCTAACCGGGCACATTACAGTCTCAGGTGAGAATAATGGAAAATTGAGACATTTCCAGACAAAGGAAACTGGAGTTTCCCACTAGCCAGTACTTTGGCACTGCCAATAGATTTTTTTGCCTCCTGCTATCCTGAAGAAATTACGATCTTTACCATTAATTGTTATGACTATGGAAAATAAACAGGCCAGGGTGGTTCCTTCACATGAAACAACCTAATACTGGAACCACTGTCATTCTAATTTTCAGATCAATTATCATTTTGGTGTTAATAACAAATCCCGCTGGAGAAACTGAACATATTCACAGAAACAAAAACCACTGCGGATATTAAAAGCACAGAAACCACATCGAAACCATAAAGGCCCTGGGCAGAAAGTATGTGGAGGCTGGGAGAGTAGTGGGAAGAAAGATCATCTGCACTACCTAGTCCCTGCATGCTTTGCTACGCATGCACCTCCGGCTCCAGATACTAGTGGAACCTTTCATCCGCCCAAAGACAGCTGTTCTCATGCTCTTACTCACAGCTCGTGCCATTCTATATGTTTCATTTCACATCAATGATAAAACAGCCTACTCAATGAAGATGGCTGCATACCATAACTTTCTCATCTGTTTCATCACTGGGTTTTCATACTCTAGAACAAAAGCATAAAGGCTGGGCTGGACAGCTGAAGGAAGCAGTTAGGGCTCTGACATGACCTACTTCCCTGTGGATTATAAAGTTGCAGAAGTATTTCTGCTTGTCACTCTAGCTCTGCCTACATGGGGAGCTTCAGCTCCACAGAAGTTCTTTCAGACGACTGTCATTCCTGTGAAGAAGTCACTATCATCTCCTCTAAAACCTGAGTCCAGTCTCAGAGCTCTAGCATTCCAGAAATACCAAGTCAGTGTACAAGGCTGATGCCCTGGCATTTCACACAGCTCATCTGTGGACGTCAGACGACATTAGACGCCAGGAACCAAGTTAAACGTAATTCTTGGCAAAGCCAGTCCTGAACACCAACAAACCACTTCAGCAACACTTACTCTTCCTTTTCCCATCAGCCTTATCTAGTGGTAGCTGCCTCAAATTCCTAGCTTCTAGAACTTCGATGATTCCTGTTGGCCCACCTGCTTGCACAGAAAGGGATCCCCATTTCTTTGGCAGGAGGGGAAGTAACAGGACTGCAATGTCCAAAACCAGGATAGCGAAAGCAGTCCTTGTGAAAATCTTACCACAGAAGGGGAAAACCCTGGCTGGAGAAGAGGGAGGAAGGCTTTATGCAAGTATTTTGTGTCACTGCTTATGCTGTCTGAGTTGGCAGGAGGACAGTATTTGGCAAGTTCTTTCACTGCCTATGCTGGTCTCCAGAGGGTGGATAAGGATAACAACTGGCAGCAGCCACCTTGCTCTCATTTGTTTGCCCGTTCACTGCATACAGGCAGCAAGTGAAAGCACTTGTTGCTGTATGTCACACTGCCTAAATTCATGTCCTGCAGTGATGGGACAGACCCTGTATCTTTTTTCAAAGGAATCATATTAGCACTTTGAATCTCTCTGCTGTCCTCTACTTTTAGCAGGTGTTAAGGAAAAAAAAAAAAAAGACCTTTCAAGAATTTATTACAGAAGTAAAATGGGTGGGAAATTGGGTGTCAGGACTACTGATGGCTGCTGTCAGGATAGGATTAAGGTACACAAAAAGGCAAAGTCTAGATGAAAATGCTTCTTGATGTTTAATCCCACGCAAAGATGGGAGTTTAAGCCCAACAGCTTAAAGACAGGTCCATGTGGTTATCAGAGAGCCTAAGATGAAAGGCTCTGCCAACAGCATATTTATGCTACGGGAGTTAAATATACATATCAGGTGAGAGACTAGATCATTAACAAGGGAAGTGCTTTCAGGTGACCCCACAGAACATGTTACCTTTTCTTAATAAGTTCCAGGGCTGAACCTATGAATTCATCCTTCATTTTTTGCAGCTTAGCTCCATAACTCGATAAGTCTGTGGCTTCTAACAGCAGCGATGAACAGCAAGAGGACTGGGCTTCAGAAGCCAGCGACTGCCCTGCAAGGTGGAGGACATCATTTAATTGTCTTGTCTCTCCTTTCTGCTGCTCATCACTGAAGACCTCCTGCCCAGCTCTGTGTATGGCTACTGCCTGCAAGGGTGATCGTGGAATAGGGCTAGAGCAAATGGGGATGAGGGTTTTATCCGGGCTGGAGATCTGGAAGGTTCTGTCCATCACCTCAGGGCTGCTCATCCTGAAACCATCCCATGTGGCTGTATATTGGAAAAAGCCAGCAGAGGCATGGTTTTCACGGAACACCTCGTCGTCATCCTCTGCTGTGACAATGGCTTCATTCACAGCTTTGGTTCCTAGAGCTTCTGGACAGACATTCTTAATGTTCTCCTCCTCCAAGGTCTGGTTTGCAGGCAGACCCTTATTCAAGCACTCTGTTGGCCCACCGCTGCTGGCAGATGAATTTGCCTCCTTGCTTCTCATTTGCTTGAATTCCTCAAAGGTGGGTATGTAGAGCCTCCCTTTGCGGTGGCCTTTCTTACTCTGTCCCAATGTGGCTTTGACATCTGTTTCCCCACTATATTGTTCCAGGGTTTCTGCTGTTCTGGATTTGGCCATCTCATGACTTTGCCCAGTGTGCTGAAGGGGCAAACTGGGGGAGCTATTCTGCCTTCGGAGCTGAAGCCTCCTCTGAGCCTCCTGCTTGATGTCTTCTGGACTGATGACCCTGTGTGCAAAACACAGTCTCTGCCTCCCTGCAAGGCTCTGCCTGAGAGCAGTATGTTCCACCAAAACCGTGCAGCAGTTGACAGCACAACCGTTCTTGTACTGCCGGCACATCTGGCATTCAAAAAACTCCCGGGCCATCAAGTCAGGCAGGGCTGCCTGTGGACGCACTGGCTTGCAGGGCTCTGCCACCTTACTGCTGTGCAGCCTCAGCTTCTCTTTCAACTCTTTTTTGGCATCCTTGTGTAGGGCTCTTTCCTCTGCAGAAGGGAAAAGCCACTGAGGCACTTTGGCAAAGGGAGGGAGGAGCACATTCTGTGCTGATTGAGATGTCTGTTTAGCACGGAGAGAAAGATTTCTCAGAGAGTCCGATGTGCTCTGTACTGGGGCCACGTCCCCACAGCCTTCTGTCCACTGACTGGTGCTTCTATAGTGAAAGATGATCTCATTATCCAGGCTCCGGCAGTGAGAATGCAGCCCAGAGTCAGCAACTGTTGCCCAGTGAAGGTTCTCCACACTCCGATACATCCGGTTTTCCACAGGGCTGGCCAAAGGCGCCTTGCCTGTGTGGCAGGAGTCTAGTGTGTGGAAGTCGCCAGAGAAAATATGAGTATCTAGGTTCTTTAGTGGATGCATGCTGCTAACCGAAAAATCCTTTAAGCCATGTTGTGCATAGAGCTGATTATTTTGGCAGCTCAAGATCACCCGGCAGTGTTCCTGTCTCTCATCAACACTGATGTATGTCATAGCAAATGCACATGGAGGCTCTAACACAGTGGCGTCTAGGGGGAGAGGAGGGAGCTGGGGTGTTGCTTAGATGCCAGTCAATGTCCACAGACCACAGACAGCAAAGTGTGCTGCTGGGTACTCACATAAGAGAGCTCTCACATGGGTTGAGTCGCCATGCGTAGAAGACCTGTGAACGGAAGGAAAGATGAGTTACTGAAGCAGCCTGGTGATGACTTGCAGGATGCAATAGCAGGTCTGCTTTCAGGGAATGCAGAAGCCAAACACCAACAGCTTGGGTAGAAACAGGGCAGCATAACTAGGAGACAAGGCACAGGGCTTGAGGCAGGGAATTTGTTCCATTTCTAGCCAAGCCAACAGTGGCCTTCCACTACCCATCTGAATTTTGGAGAAGTTTATCCTACCTACCTTCAGCAATTCCCTCACAATAACCCTGCTCAACTCTAGTGACAAATACTCAGAAGTGCTTGCTGCCGGCCCGCTTACTCACACAGCACCAGTAAAGAGATGGGAGGTTTACAAGAGATAGTGAGGTTCTTTCCCTCAAATCGGGTGCAGACAAGAGTGTATGGGTTAAGGAGGAGGCTGGGAGTGGGAAAGGATGACATGACAGTGTGGTCTCCTGGAAGGCTTAAGTAGCAAGGAGGAAGACGGAGGCTGACTGGTGGTGGTTTTGTCCCTGAAAATCACACCACAGCCCCTTAGTGCCCTGATGTACCCTTCACAGGGAAGATGTATATGCTTTAGTGACTGGTAGCCAAGCGTTTCCAGTGCAGAGACAGAGGCACCTCACAGACTTTCACAAATGCACCCTCATGTCCCCTTAGCAACAGGCCCCAAATGATCAGCCCCCATGACAGCTCAGCAGAGGCCCAGAAAGAGAAGGTGTGGTTTCCAAGGCTGCTCCTGTGATCTTTGCTCAGCATTGTAAGGCCCAGGGAACCTAAGTGATTAAATCACATGTTCAGAGCAATGTGGAGAATTAAATCCCAAAACTTCAGTTTGGGCCAGCAGGATGTAGGCTAAGTGTCTAAGTCGTCCTTGGAAGTGGAAGGAGCCTCCTTACATTGAATGGAGAGACTCCAAATTTCTCTTAAGGATTCAGGCCTCAGGGACTTGCCAACAGTCACACAAGACATGAGCGCCGGCTACAGCTCTGTCCACCCCCTCCCTTGGCAACCAGAGGCAAAGGGAATGAGTGAGTGCCATATGTAAAGGAGAACAAGACTGGGCAGGGGATATGGAGTTAGCCTGAGATTTCTAAGGGCAACACAGAACTGGATGGTGAGGCACTGGTCTTTAATAATAAGCCAGGCAAGAACCAAGCAGGTTGAACATTCAGGAAGCATTCTTGGTAAAGCAAGACAGGACCATGTAAGTTACAGCCCAGACTGTTTGCTTTGTAGTACAGCTGGATTCTCTGCACGCTGCCAACCATTCAGGCAGCACAGTCACCTTGACCAGGAGGGGAATGAAGAGGCTTGTTATTCCCTGAAGGATAAGACACCTCAGGGATCTAACCATCTGAGGCATCAACAGACATCTTCCATCTGAGGAGAAGTCTGAGGCAGTGTAATGCCTGGAAGCCAATCTTGGTAGCTTGCTGGTAGCCTGATTCACCCCTTGCTTGGAGTGGTTCAAATTAGTATACTTTCCCCGCATTAATGAAACTATCTCTAATCTAATCCCGGAGAGGGAAGGCAGAGCTGCTCCCATGGATCACCACTGAACGGAGAACATTATTTCCGTCCTTTGTAATTGCTAAACATAAAAATTAAAACTAGTTCTCAAGGTGTAGCTGCTCCCCAAGATGTCACAGGCACTTCTCACCCAGTCTTCTCGTGGTGGGGCTGGAGTTCCCCCTTCTTCATGGCTCTGGAGGAGCCCACAGGTGACAGCAGAGAAACGTGAGGATCAGGACTTTCTGTGATCATAGGTTATAACATGATCTGTCAAGAAAGAGAGAATGAGATGATGTGAGAGCCAGTCGCTGAGTAGGGAATACGGCTCCTGGTAATGCCGAAGGGCTCCTGTGAGAAAGTGCTGTTAATGAGAGATGCCATGGCCTGTCAGGTTGGTCTGTGATCAGGTCACAGCCACGGGACTAAAAGGCAGCATGTACTTTCTGCACTCTGCTTTCAGACCAGGTAGAAAGAGAAAACAACCCTTGCCATAGTGAGAGCCGAGAATAAAGCAGTCCTTGCCCAAGGCAAGGCGCTACATACAGTAAGGCCTGAAGAGAAACCAAGGCCCACGTGAGACAGGTTCCTGGGCTACACGCTCACTTGGCAAGCTCTGTGTGTGTGTGTGAGAGCGAGGGAGATGGAGAAGAAAGCACACAGGCACAGGGAGAAGCAGTCACGAGAAGAGCAAGGAAGCAGAGGCACATAAAATGATGGAGTGGGATCCGCCTGTGGCTGCTCCGTTCACCAACAGACGAGGCAGCACTGAAAATAAAATAGACTTGTGTCCTCACGGTCTCTCTTCAGGTGGAAGTCCACTGCTGAGACCTGTAGTGCTGACCCCTCTTTGGGCTGCAGGACAGCTGCGGTGCCACCAGGCGTGGGTGGCCACGGGCCACTCCACCCCTGCCTGCTCGGGTGTGTGGCACAGACCATGCAGTGGGGTTTGTGTCCCTCCATCACGCGGAGGAACGCCTCAAACCTGCTGGCAGAAGAGGGTACCCCTTTGCCCCACAGGAGAGCAGAGGCCCATTTCCCAGCAAGTGTGGAGGTGCCAGTGCTCATGAGTGCTGCCAGGCAGCAGGGACCTGCTGCTGCTTTGCCAGGGTGGGATTTTCCAGAGGAGATGTGCGTGGGGCAGCAAAAGTTCATTTCAGGGAAGGAGCAGCTGGGAGGAAGCTCCTGCGGGCAGAGTAGGGCAGGCAGAGAGTGAGGGACAAAGGGGCGGCAGAGGCAGGTTTGCAGAGCGGAGGACCCAGAGAAGACAGAGAACAGCCAGAGCCAGCTGAGAGACAGCAGGAGACGGACACTTTCCAGAGGAGGCTGTGTAGAGTTTGCTGACATGTAGGTAGGCACCAAAAATTACCGGATTAAGTGCAGGAAGAGAGGAATTTTGTTTCCAGATAATTTGTTTTAATCTTTGGCATCCATCAGAACTGAGTTTTCTTTCTCTAACAAGTGACTTTTTACTCTAAGTAAACACTTCAGACACAGGAAGTCCCTTTGATGCTTTCAAGAGAGCTCAGAGCAAAGGTGCACGTGGATGTGGCTCACAGGTGGATGTGCAAGGGGGTTCCATGTCCTGGCTGGAGTGAGGGAGAGCCTCAGAAATCCATGATCTCTGTTTCACCTCACACCTGCAAGGCAGCTGTGGAGATCTCGTAACAGCCAGCTGGGACAGGAGCACCCTTCTTTCCCTGTCACTCTATCCTTGAAACAACCACCTCTTTCCTACTGAAGTCCTCTAATCTTGCCCGATCCCCTCACATCACTACCCTGAGGGCTGTGCAGAGCATGTCAGGTAGGTAAGCTTAATTTCACTGACCACCCAGGCCAACTGCTGCCCCAGTCATGACCTGTGAAGGGGGACCAGCTGTGCTGAGGCACAGCCTGCTTTCCCCACTGCCCAGGGATGCCTGGAGCAGGAAGAAAGCAGAGGTCTCACTAAAACGTCAGATAATTCTGATCTGGCCTGTAACCAGGAAACACTGAGCCCTTCTTCCTCCTTCCCTGTTCTTGTGCTCTGTTCCTCAGCATCACAGTTTCAGCTCAGATGCCTGTGTTTGTCAGGTCTGTGACACTGCTATAATATAAAGCATGTGTCTACACACTCAGCTCTGAAGCAACATGACCACAAGCATGTTCTAGGCACTCTGCTGGAGGAGAGCATGAGATGGAGACAGAAAAAAAACGTATGAGTTACAGCTGATATGCTGAAGATGATCTTTCAGCACATCCTCACGGGTTCACTGTACATACAGGATATTTAGCTGCAGTATTACGTGGTCACTGTGGAAGAAACACTGGGAACTACAGCAACATGAAAGCGTTAGTGCTCTCACCACCACAGACCTACAACTACAGCCGCTATCTACAGCAGGTGATCCCAGGTGTAGAAACTAGCAAATGCCAAAGAAGTTGTGATGCAATGGAAAGAATCTCACATGGTGACCCAACTCTGGGTCCTAACTCATCCTCTCCCAAAGGTACACAGCACTCCTAACGCAACCTGTTTTCTCTTCCCCTTAAACCAAGCAGCGACTTGCCATTTCTTTGTTGCTCCCCAGCATACATGAGCACTGTGGGTTGATACCGCACTCCTTCGTTTATCCACCCGGGTACTTCCAGGCAGTCCTGTCCAGACTTCCCCAAAGCTAGGGCTTTACTCTAGTCCAGCAATCCTCCAGGCCAATGCTGACTTATTCCACGCTGAATAGCAAGAAGGAGCTTAGTGCTGGCTGACGCTGTGGGAATGGCACATCACTGCTCTTTGATAATGTTGTCTGTGCAACACTTGCCTGCTCCCTGGCTCAGGGACTGAAAAGTTCCTGGTGGTTATGAGCCCCACGCCTTAAGTGAGCTTAAGACTAAAGGTATCGTGTGCTCAGCTTATTTTCTACCATGTGATTCTGTTTAATCAACTTCTCTACTACTCTGATAAGTGCTTGCTTGGAGACTTGCCACTAACCTTCATTTTCCTGCAAAATCCCCCCAAAGAACTTACTTCTTAAGGATTAAAGCTTGAAGGATAAATTATTCCTTCCCATACACATAAGAACCGTTCTGCCTGGCTGACCTTCCCTGCAAAGCATCAAAGTGCCAGGAGGATGAAGCAAACAGGCACAGGATAAGTTGTTCAGTGCTGGTGAAAAGCACTGTGGAGAGGACCAGTCACGTCCGAGGACGCCAGGGACATCAGGACAGGGG